TTCTTCAACAACCAGGCCCAAAAAACTCACACTTTTAGGATAGGCCTAATACATAAAGGCAACAAAGTTTAAAGTTCTCCCATGGGTTATCTAAGGAGATGACAAGGACACATGCATACTTGGTGGGCGAGTGCGGTGGTTGGGTGTGGGATCGAGTCGCCAAAGGCACCTATCACACACTGTCGGCAATGCTGGCAGAAGTGGAAAATGTGCGCATGCCAAAACAAGTCGAAAGTTCTCAACTCGGGATTGCATCTCCAAAGAGGCGCACTCACAGAAGCAGGCTGGGAGCAAAAGAAGCCTGAAGCAGAGATGGGCTCCCCTCTGCTCAGTGCTCTGAACCCCAACGAAGAGGAGCTTGTAGGCTGGGGTTCGCGCGATGGAAACACGGGTCGATTCGATCTTGGAAGCACTGGGCTTCACTACTGATGACCAGAAAACCAAGCTCGAGTATTAGAGGGGAGCCCAGTGGCCCGTAGGGTATTCCGAATCCCAGAGCCCCCCTTCCAAACAAAGACTCCGTGCGACAGAGCCGCTGACCCCCCACCCTGAAGCACTGCATGTTGCGCAGCTCCACATGCCCCATTCACAGCTTTTGCAGGTTGCGAACACCGGAAAGTAAGACTCACATCAGCAGACATAAGACATACTGCCCCCCCCCCGCACAAGTCACAGAGCGTTCAAAGCCATAGGGCCACATTGCTTTTCGATCATCATCCTTCAGGTGCGAGCGGGGAGAGTTGCTTTGCTGCCGAGACTGCCAGATCTAGGACCTGCATGGCAGGGTGATGCCGCAGCGTAGTTGCAAGCATGGCTTTGGCTTTGGCTCTTCATGTTGCGAAGAAAGACGAATCAGTCTGCATGGTAGAATAGCACATCCTCCTTGGTTTGCGTCGTTCTTCTCTGCACTTTCCAGTAATGCGACTTGTGCAGAATGTTCGCCCAGAGCTAGCCGGAGTGGGGAATCTGCGCAACGATGACATACTCCAGACGCCAGGGCACCCCGTCACTTGCATTACCCAGCTTGTCGGAAGTTGCAAGTCCCAAGACTGATTCTGCGAGAGGTCGATTGAGGCCCTTTCTGGACCGAGTCATCAACACAGCTTCTTCGTCTTCCTGCAAAGGCATTCTGGAAAGCTAAGGCCAGGGGCGAAGAAGAAACACATCTTGAGCCGAACTTTCACGAGAACCCATGATATAAATGCAGCGCAGATTCGTTCAGGAATGGCACTCGAGCCCAGCCCACAATCACATCATCGAAACTGCTTCCAAGGCTGTCGAGAACTTGCAGCAGTTCGTCGCAGAGCATACCTGGGCTCTTTCTTGTTAATTTAGGAGGCTTCTTCTTAAGCTGATTGAAAGCATAAGGATTACGATAAGCATCTGTATACCTATAGGTAAGTATTTATGTATAGGTATAAATCTATCGACCGACTATCTGTCTATCGATCTATAGATCTATCTGACTATCTACCTACCTACCTACCTACCTACCTACCTACCTACCTACCTACCTACCTACCTATCTATCTATCTATCTATCTATCTATCTACGTGTCTATCTTTCTTTCTATCGATCTATCTATCTATGTATGTATCTACGTATCTATGCAACTATCTATCTCTCTATCGACTATCTATATCTCTAACTATCAAATTTTGACCAACTATCTGTCGATCCATCCATCCGTCCATCCGTCCATCCATACATCCACCGCTTGCCCGCCCATCCATCCAGCCATCCATCCATCCATTCATCCATGCATCCATGCATCCCTGCATCCGTCGTCCTCCATCCATCCATCCATCCATCCATCCATCCATCCATCCATCCATCCATCCATCGGTCTAACGGTAGGATCCATCTGTCTATCTCTGCCTCTCTATTATGCATCTATCTACCTATCTGATTACCTACCCAGCCGCCAGCTGTCTATCTATATATCTCCGTATCTCCGTATCTTCCCATCTCTATGCCCGTCTATCTCTCTTCCGTCTACCTCCTTGACCCAGATGCTGACCTGCTGGGCCCCGTCACTGGGAACCTTGCAGCGGCTTTCCTCAGGCGCGGCCTTGATCGAGAAAATAGCCAGGTCGGCTTGGCCATGCACCAAGTAGCCTGCTCAGGGTGTGGGGTTTCGACTCGCTTCAGGGTGCCTTATTTTGGGGTCCTTATATCAGGTAGCCTACTATTTAGGGTACTATATTGGGGTCCCCTATTCTTGAGGGTTTAGGGTTGTATAGGGTGGAGTTTGCGAAGGTCGGAGTGCTAAGCCTGTTTAAAGGATGCCCCACATGGCATGCTTCTGGTCCAAGCGGTGCCCTGGCATTGGGTTCTTTGGATAGAACATGTTGATTTCCGTCTCGGCTTACCGGAAATCTCTGGCAATCATTCATGCAAGCTACACCTTGTAGGATTTTGGTGGTGATGGCAGAGTTTCTTACATGTCCGTTTGCACCGAAACTGCCGGCAATCTACCTCATGTTGCAAGCTCTCGTCTAAACTCAACACCCCAAACCCCGTCCCGACTTAGGCTTAAAACTCTGCAAGATGCCCCAAACCCTTTACAACTGTAAAGCTTGAAATGTTGTTTCATACCCCAAACCCTATTCGTTGTGGGTCCTGGCCTGGTACATAGGGCATGAAAAACTTGGGATCAAACTCGTCTTTGATATCCTTAGACTAGGGCCTGGGGTCGTGGGGACACTACGTATCATATCACAAATATTTTCCCTTAAGTTATAGTTATCTTGTACTTCCTGACAGTTAGTATCTTTCACTATAGTCTGCTATACTATGTCATCAAAATAGCTTGGGAACCTGGCGAAATGACACTAGAGTAACTATTCCCTGACAGTAGGCTTACGCTTCAACAGCCATCGACACCCTTTACAGATAAAGTATTCTAGCCACGGCAAACCCAGGGAAATCAAAAGCAGCTCCAAATCCGCCCCGAGAATCGATGCGCACACTCTGGCCGGGCAAAGGACCGCGACTGACGCCTTCAAGGGCAAACATGCCGAAGGTCTCCAAAAGAAAGCGGCGGTCACTCACGTTGTCGCCAACCTCGACAGGAGGTCAAAGGGACGTGACATGAGCATGTATGCATGTATCTGTACATCTTATGTCTGTATACGCAATGTTTATGATGCGTATTTACATATGCACATATACATCGGTTTTTACATGTATGTATGTATGCATGCATGCATGCATGCATGTATGTATGTATGTATGTATGTATGTATGTAGCTACAAGCTTGTTTGTATGCTATGTGCATGTACATATAACTACCGACTATACGGTGCGTGCTGCACAAATTGCACGTGGAGCCTCTACCATGCCCAGCGTCTCAAGCTTGTCCATGCCAAGGTCTCTCGAGACTGCTGGCCCAATCTCTTCCACCACACGACGGTTCGCTTCGAAGCCATCCCCATTGCCCGAAACCCAATGAAGTATCTGTGGAGACCGCAGCCACTCCATGGACGCCACCTGGCTCAGTTTCAGCTACACTGGTCTGCTTGAAAAGCTCAACCCGAGACTGCGATAGATTGTTGTTGACGGATCATCGACCCATGCTGAATAATCACAAAGTGCGATCGGTTCGCTTGATTCGCTCTTCTGACCGACTGATGTCCGCTAAAAATAGTAAAGAGGTCCCCATACGTACTAGCTATTTGCTCTTATTGTCCGTAGATTAAACCTATGTACACCCCAATCCCAAGGCAGGCCACACCAAACGGCAACTCGTCAGAGTAGTCTGCCACAGATTTGCCAATCTTGTGAATAGTGCTGATGTTGGCCTTCACCTGCGCCTCCATGGTGAAGTCCAGATGGTCAAACTCGCTTGGCACATGTGGATGGCCTGGCTGAAACGTGCCCCAAACACTCGACTGGCTAGATTCTGTACTTACATAGCCTGGCATCATCTGAAATATGTCCACATTCGAACCGGCATACAGACACACGTACCTGCCTATCTACTCTGCATACACAATCCACCATGTGTGCTTGAAGTCGTGCCACAAGCACTGACGCTAAAAGCATTCAGCCCTCTCTCAAGGTTGCCACAGGCCGCCCCAGGCCCAAACCTACCAATACTATTTCGGGGGTTCCTCACTGTGATTATAGTATAATATTCCCCGAAACCTTAACTTATTCTAAACCTTAAACCCTGAACCCTAAGGTCCCTATATTACACCGTTGACCTTCCCCGAAACCTAGGCTACCCTGCAACCGAAGCTTGAATCTTCCCCAAGACCTCGAAGCCACCGAAACTTGTCCTGACACCCCTAGAAAGGTCCGAAACCCTTGAAACATAAAACCGGGAGAACAACCGTCCAAGAACCCCTTGAAAACCCCCTGACAAAGCTTAAAGTTCACCTGCAAGCTGCGACCGGGATGCTATGGTAAAAGGGCCCCGGGGTGGCACCGCTCAGAAACAACGCAGGGCATCGGGGACGCAGCCTCTCTACCTGCTGTGTTGGATCTAGGCTTTAGGGCTTGAAGAACTCACTCCAAGTTACTAGACACCCTGTTGACACCTACTATCCTTTCCTTATTGAGGTAGCTTCATACATTCACTAAGCCCCCACAGCATGGATGCCATACAGCGACAATATGCTGTGCTTGTCATGGAAGCTGCGGGCCAGAGATCTTAACACCATTAAAAAACTGGTACCAGGAGAATCCCAAGAAAAATGATACCTAGCATTTGATACACAATGGCCTTCTTAATTCCGGAACGAAGCCTATCCAGCTGAGACTCACAGCGTACACTCAGGCCGTAGCATCAAACAAACAGCTTTACGATTGAGCTCCAGGCCTCCGGGCTTACGACGGTGAATGGCTTGGGAATACAAGGGTTGCAGACCATATACTTTATTAATATTCCATAAGTGTACGATGCACGGAAGGATCCTGCATCGCACTGGTTGCTTGCGTGGGAGTTGAACACTCGTTTGGCATCTCCCAACCCCTAACTTCCTAAACCCTGGGCCGTAGCAAAGGACTAGCGAAGGCCATACCTGCGCAAGGGCGCCCAATAGTCGTGACGGAAGAGCAGTGGGTAGAGCAAAAGCACCCCCAAAAGCCATTGCTTACGCCTCCAACTAGAATTTCCTTTGCATTTAGACTACTTTGGTGGATGTTGCTACACAGGCATTCTTACTATGCTGCTGTTCCTAAAACAACCATCCACGACCTTCTGTCACTCAAGCAAGACTATTTGCAATGGTGAGGGACATTCTTGGAAGACTTAGTATTAGGCTAGTGCAGTTAATAGGGACGCCACCGTTCCTTAAAATGTAGGGCTTCCTGAACCAGTTTTGGAAAACTGTCTCCACGGAATGAAACGGAATGCTGTACTCGACCAGGTGGCATGCACCCCCCGCACCACAGAGGTTTCCATCGGAGTGCAGAACTTGCAGAGGCCGTTTCGCAGCAGGACATGCCATGCCATCTTGATGTGCCGCACTGGCAGAAAGGTGTGCGCTGGTGAACATGGTATTTAGCAAGGACTGTATCTATGATATCTACCTCTGCATCAGCTAGAATCCACCTTCGGATGTTCCAGACAGCATGCCTAAGTTCCAACATGCAGCAGTGAGCAAATAAGAAGGGTCAGCCGGGCGATGATATTCACACAAGTCTGGGCCATGCTCCCATCCAAATGAACCTATAACTTTGCAACGAGTGGTCTGACATGAACCGGCCCATGGTAGGATTCGGGACCCAAGCCTCTCTCTGCAACCGTGCGTCTCGCCCGGCTCCCACTGCGAAGGCGGAAGCTTATGAACAGACCAACCAGAAACGAAACGTCAAACCACCCAGGCCCTAGCAACTCCTAAGAGGTCTAGCATCTCGAGAGCAACCGCATTTTTTCCGGAACTGGTCGGCTAGATTTTGCGACACATCCGATCGCATTTCACAAGTCACGCAGAAATGGGGATTTCAAGCTGGAAGCATAACTTCGCATCCATGTCTATGTGCCACTGACTGACACTTTCGATCTTGTCAGCTGCTAGACAAACACACTCCGTAAGCGTGACCCTTGAAAGACCCAAGGGGAGAGTCTTCAGGGGTTGGGTTTGGGGTATAGTTTAGGGTTCGGGGCTCGGCCTTGACCTTGACTCATGTTGAAAACAAGGGCTACTATGTCAGGAGATGGTGAGCTCCTTGCGGCACCTGGGAGCCGTCACATTGAAGGCTTGTTACCTGCGGCCTAATTAATGAGGTCTATGGGTGTCCGAAGTCGTGAAAGACGATGCTTGCGAAATTTCGGGTAAATATGATTCCGGTCACAGCATCGCTTACAGACCCCCCGTCAAACCGACGCGATCCTGAACACTTGGCCTCCTAGAAGAGAAGATGAGGAAGTGCCGGTGTTTGAGGGGTTTAGGGTTTAGGGGCTAAAGTTTCGACTCACACACTCGCAAAGCAGGCATGGCGATAAGTGAGGGTCCATTTTTCCGGTTAACACCTTCAATCATGTGATCCCGCCGTTCCACAAACCGAGCAGCAAAGAGGAACCAGCCCCTGCAGTCAGGTCCGAGAACAAGCCTGAAGCTCCTCACGCCTACCCTGCATACCTTAAACCCAAAGCCCTACACCTCAAAGCGCTAACCCCAAAAACCTGAAAACCGCAAATTCCATTTTGACCCAAAACCCTATTAATTAACCCCCAAACCTGCAACCCCAAAACAGTCAACTCCATGAACCCTCCCAGAGCCCGCAGCTCGAAGCCCCGAAATCGAGAGGATCAGAACGTGCTAAGAAGGAACTAGAAATCGGACAGAAACAGCATTGATTTAGGGATTTCCGCCTCCTACTTACGCAAGGACGCGGCTTAGGGATTCGAAGGGTTTCTGTAGGTTATTGCGTAACGTTTTTGGGTTTAGGGCGCAGGGTATAGGACCCTGAAAGAAGACAACAACTTGAAACCGAATCACTGAGTCCAGAGAACTGCGGGACCAATCATGAACGATGCATGCTGCAACTCTTTAGGTTTAGCATAAGCACTACGAGCTGAACAAAACGATAAAACCTAGTTAAGCCCTTTTCCCTTCAACCCCCATACCCTCAAACTGCTGAACTCGGAACCCTAAACCCTTTTCAGTAAACTCTAAACCCCAAACCCTAAGCCCTAAACCCAAAGCCCCTAAACAGGTCAGGCGCAAAGGGCAAGTGGCACTTCGCTGTAGCCTTCCCGAGTTTTGCCGGGCAAGGAGTCGAACAGGTTCTGTCGGTTTGGGTTTGGGGTTCAGGGTTCTATTTTAGGGTTTGGGATTTTTAGGGTTTAGGGTTCAGGGTTTCACTCACACTCGGACAAGCCTGGCAAGGTCTGTAGCGATACTGGTCCAAGACTGAAACGAAAGAATTCACAGAACGCAAAGTAGGTTTCACTCAAATTAGGGTTTAGGGTTTATCAGATTGTGGAGCCAAGGGCCACCTGAGCTTATCATTTGGCGTTGCAGGGCTGTGAGAAAGGTTTCCGGGCTCGGCGATTTGAGCAGGGTGACGGGGTCTCATGTACAACCCTTCTGAAAATTGCGATGCAGTAAATCAAGTATTGACGCCGCTAGATCCGTATGTATGCATGAATACGTATGTTTTTCAATATGTGTGTGTGTATATATATATATATATCCACGTATAGACGGATAGATAGATAGGTAGGTAGGT